TGCTTTTACCACCTGGTATACCAAAAGACTCGGAAGGCTGAAAGCAGGGTGAACCGCGCATCAAAAAAGAGCGCTTGTTGACTGGAACAATCTGTCCTTCTTCCCAGTACTACTGACAACTCATCGTCATCTCGATATCTATACCCACTTCCTTCCATCCCATATAGTGCCTGAAACTGCACCGGACTTACCCAAAAATGTCGATCTGGCGGTAAGGGCGGTAGGAGCCGAGGGTGTGGGAGCCAAATCCCACAACTGTTCGCCCCATGGAACCGAACGGAACACTTAATCGGAGCTTTCTCGCCTTTGGCTCATCTAGCCATATGGTTGAGTAAGGGCAAGACTTTGCGATCAATCGCTAGCGATTGATCAAGGCTAACGCCTGCCACAAATCACGCCTCTACGCCACCGGTCCATTTCCACCCAAGTGCGTTTCGCCGTAGGTTCCTTATAAGATTTTTATCTATAGACCTCGACCAAATAGGAAGGCGATTTCGCAAAAATAGTGTGCTTTGAGGCAGAACGCGTTAAAATTTGGGAGAAGAGAGGGTTTTTGCCTTGACGTCAGTTCTTCTAACGTCCATCGTTGGTGTCTTATCGCGCTGCACCTTTCAAGGTCCTGGGTTGCAACTCCGGTTCCGGTGACGCCATGATGGTGATGTTTGTTTGAGAGACATGCGCAAAGAAAGTTGGGCCTTTTGAATGACTTTCGGCACACATTGCCACCACTTGGAATTCACTGTGGAAAACAGGCACTATTTCTGATGTTCAAACGACTACTAGCGATCAAAGAGCGGGGATTCCCAATCGGGATCAACCGTCCGTTGCGCAATTCCCAACGGTTGGAGGTCGTATTTGAGTTTTTTTTGGAAGGGAGTCGTATTTCGGGGGAAATAGGGAGTCGTAAATGTGGATGGAAACTTAAAAGGTCTTGATTGTGGGAATCGTTATTTGCGAGTTTTTTCTTCGGATTGGAATTCGGCGAAAGGAAGCACGAAGTTGGCAGAGTCAAAGGGTTGCTGTTCTTTTTCCTCTACATATGAATTTACAAGTATTCATTCCCCCACAGTCCTTTCCCCTCCCCCCCCTCCAGTCCCTCGACGACCATTCGGGGGAGAAAAGAAGAAGGTAGACGGGGCTAGAGTCCGTCGAATGGTCTCAAAATCAAGCACCAATAGAAACAGCCATAAAGGTGAGGATGGTGCAAGGGGTGGAAGGAAGGTTTCGTAAGGGGAGGCGGCCTTCGCCTGGACGGTGGAGAGGGTCCGTATCGAGAATCTACCTTAGGAGGGGGAAGTAGAATTTCTGGCATGGAGCATTCAACGATGATTGACGCCTTAACAATCCCAAAACATATGTTACAGCAACCAGCTTCGCGCTATACATTATTGGAGCAGCAATCAACACAGAGCCACTTAATGGTGAGGAAAATGGCATGAACCAACGGATGAGAAAAGAGTTTGTCGCTTGACTATGTAAATTACAGAGTGTTAATTTCACACTTTTTGGCGAAAGTGGTAGTTGAGCAAAGCCGCTGCTTACCTAGCGTGCGGCCCGGGGATCAAATCCGCGGTGTGCATCGTCTGGGACAACCAGGCCCGATCCCCCTGAGGTCGGTTAGTTGGTACCAGACTCGCCTGCCAGGATGAGAGCACTGACAACGTACACAACTGTAGTACAGTGCAAATGTGTACATCGGCTGGCCCCCGCAAGTCATTGTATAGGCCACATCGCATTCAACTTGCCACTACGAATGTACAAATGGAAGTAGAATGCGTGGCCGCATCCCAAAACGGGATGCGATGCTGAAGCGCCAGATGCTTTATCCTTTATATTTTATCCGTTCACCATTTGTTCTAAATTCCGCCTAGAAAGATGTGGGTGGGGTGTGAGACCCCAGCCAGAAGGGATAGCCGAATTGGCGGTCAAATTCCCCCATCCGTTGGCCTAACCTCATCCCAGGAGATATTCGCTATCAGGCGAACATCATCTCAAATATGTCGGTCGCTATGACGACTATTCAACAAATTGAGGATTCCTCTCATGACGTGCCTAAGACCATCGCGTGTTCCAAATCCATCCGTCCAGCCACTCCGATTAATGTGCGCCAAGGTACAGCTGCAGCCTTCCTGAGCCCATAGCTACGGCAATTCGTTGGCCCGTTGCGAGATTCCCGTCTGAATTCTGGACCCTGTGACCGCTTTTATCTTTTTAAAATTGCGAATTTGTTCCAAAGAGGGGGAGGGGCGGAGTGGGGATGGGGGGGGGGTGTTGTGCCATAGTTTCTGCCGTCTACAGTAACTCTATTTTTCGCAGGAAATCCCCAGAGCGCGTGAACTTTCGCTTGCACTTTTACTACCACCCTCTAGCTTCGTACCCCTTTAAGGATTTAAATTCTTTTTCTGGACCTTGTGGCTGCTTTTACTGCTGAAATTGCCTAAGGGGGGGGAGGTGGAGGTTTGGTGTGATAAATTCTGCCGCCCCACAATAATCCCAATTTTTGCAAGAGAGGGAATCCACAGGGCGTGCAACCAATTTCTACAACCTCCTCCTCTTAGCGGATCACCATACGACCCTCCCACCACCACACGTGAGCGAAGTTATCCTCGAATACGCCCCCCCCCCCCTACGACTCCGAGCACCATCCTCTGCATTGGGCTGTTTCTATAGTATTCAATTCTGAAGTCGACACAGCGGATGGGGAGGGAAATGCTCCAAAAGCGGCAAGCCCCCAACTGAGCCTCTATTCTATTTCATGTTTCTTTCGTGAGGTTCTCGCCAAAATCATTAAAAATACGTCAAGAACGACCACTTCCCCCGTAACCACGACCCATTCGATTTCCAAAAATGCGATCCTCCCCTTGGACTTTTGACCTTCGTTAACCCCAATTCGCCCCCTCTCAAAAATCAGCAAATACGACCCCCGTCTGGATCGGCCGGATGGAGGCTGACCCTGACCGGAGCTTCCCACCCCTGCAAGAATTTCGATTACTGTAGGCGGCACGAAGTCTGCGCCGTACACTGCCCATTCACCCATTTTTCCCTTATTTGAATTGACTCAAAATATAGCTTCAGGACACAAGAATTTCCCCAAGTGTGCGCCATAATTTTAATAAAGATTAGGGCGACAAATAAAACCTGCTTCACCCGAAAAAGGCACGTTTGGTAATAAAGCACGTTGAGTAATTGTCTATGCCTGGCATAGCTTAGTCATCACTTTGCACCACTGCACGAAACAACTGCTACAGTTTTGCTTTGAGAAACAAAGTCTGCAACGTAATAACTTCGTATAGCGTACCATGGCCGAACGTTAGGCCCTGTTCAGAGATGTCCGCCGGCGCGAAAAAACGCACAGGCGAAAATCTCCGCCAAGATTTAGATACGCATCGACTGAGAAATTGTGAAACGCGTAAGCGAAACGTCCGGAGCAGGCGAATTTCAGTCAAGAGTTTGATATGTATCGACTGTGAGAAACGCACAGGCGGAAAATCGCGTGAGCGAAGCGTTCGTAAGTCGATGCGTATGATACTCATTTTCGTCGATCCTCCCACTTCACGATTCGCCTGTGCGTCTTCGTTCAGTCGATACATATTTCACATTGTTTCGCCTATGCGTTTTTTCGCGCAAGCGGACATCTCTGAACAGGGCCTAACGATTTTAAGTGTAGCCGATAAAAGTGATGTTGACCGCAACTTGCACACTGCTCTCTAAAACACGCGTCTTTAATTTTGAACAACTTCTGCCTTTGTTTTCTCTGTCTTTTTGTTGTAAAAGCGCTCGGGACTGTACATCAATGTCATGTAATATTGGGCGGGGGAACTGGGGCTTCAGGTAGAGGGAAGTACTCCCTTGTCTTCTATGTCGATAACGCTAGGGGCTATGGCGCAGAGACAGGTTGGAGCAGGCTGGATGACTAGCTCAAATGTTGGGAAGGAGCATTCTGGACAGTTCTCGTTTCTCGAAGACTAAGCCTAGGGTGAAGAAGCCTCTTCCTCTCCAGGCTTAGTTCTGAGCTCTCTGGCTCTCACCCGGGGATACCGACAGTCTATACCCCCCTTTATGGCTCTGCTGGCACGCACAACCTAGGGACATGTGCAACAGTGCAATCCCAAAGAAGGTTCAAATCCTGAACCTTCACCATAGGTGTTCTCGGATCACGAATAGGCATTCATTTTAGCGCCGGGCCACTTGACACCAGTCTTCAATACGTCAAACTGCGCTAAATGTTTCGTTTTAATCCAACGTGTCACCATACGCTTAACCATGTTCCCCTGTTTCCAGGACTTGCTTATTATTCAGTTTTTACCAGGGTTTCTGCCTTATCCTTCTCAAAAGAGCTAACCGCATGGCCGAGAAACAGAAGGAACTCTTCGCGGCCATTGAAGCCAGTGTGTGACAATTTTTTCTAAATTTTTTATTTTTGCTGTTTGTGTTTTTATTTTTGGTTTGAAATACCTAGTTACGGGTTACTCATTCCAATTTTTAGAAGACTTCGAGAAAGCTGCCGAACTGATTCAATCTGGCGTTGACGTCAATTCTCATGATGAAGGGGGAATGTCAGTTCTCGCTGCGGCAGCTTACAGGTAGATCTTCGAGTGCATTTCTGGCTTTAGCTACCGTTGTTCAGTATTAAGGAGGTGTATCGGAACGTTAAATCCTGTCTATCTATCTTCTTTTCTATCATTTATTTCGACTTGGGTTCGATCTTGGGTGTAGATCCAGGTCTTGTCATTCCCCATACGCAGAACGATCCGTAGAACAAAATATCGGCACTATTTACCCTTACTGCCCCACTCCTCAAGAACTGAGCCGGATTTTGATCGAAATTGTCCATGACTGTGGATTTTGCTAGAAACTTGCCTTCCGGGGTAATTTGACCCGTAGAACACGAATATCGTATCCGGTTTAGTTCAAAAACGCCTGGATCCTGCTTGACAGGCGCCAAAGTTGTCACATCACTTTGGCGCAGACTACAGGATCACCCGCAACAAACTAACGTCACATTCATGTTCTACGGATCTACCTACTTCTGACGACGAATCCAGCAAATTAGGTAAGCCAGGTGTTCTGGCGCCTTTTAGCGCCGGCTGCTGGACGGGCGCCAAGGCGTTTTAGCGGTAAACGAATGTGATATTCGTGTTCTACGGGTCGAATTACCCCGAAGGCAAGTTTCTAGCCAAATCCACAGTCATGGACCAATTTCGATAAAAAAAATCCGGCTCAGTTCTCGAGGAGTGGGGCAGTAAAGGGTAAATAGTGCCCAAACATTGTACTAATTTCGCCTTGGCCAACCATGCTTTCAATCCCTTGACTGTGCTCGAAGGATGCCAAGCTCTTCTAGGATGCTAACAGTGCTAGTTTGTAGATTCAGCTGGTCCTAGCAGGTTATTGTATAGGCCATATGGCATCCGATGTCACTACGATTCTGAGTGAAAGTATAATGCGCGCCATTAAGGGATTAGTCACAGCTGAATGTTTCATGCCTTATACTTGGTTTTCTGTCATTCTTAAAGTGGTATGAAAAAAGAACTCCCTACTTAATCTACCAATAGCTTTGAATTTACAGCTTTTCGAAAGACCAATTAAATGGTCAATCAGTAAGATTTTCAAGAAGATTTAGTTGAGATGTCGTTTGATCGAGTCGTGATTTCAGGGGCTCTTCGGATCTGGTTCAGCTATGCATAGATAAAGGAGCCAATGTGAACGACAAGGAGCACAACCAAGGCTATACTCCGCTTATGTTTGCAG